TTGAGCAATTATTTATAAAATTGTAGGTTTTATCTAGAGGAGCGGGTTGGGGGGGGGGGGGGGACAACTGTCCCCCATAATGGATCAGATGCACCTCTCGCCGTAGTTGAAACAAAATAATTATAGAAGTTCATTATTATAATGTTTTTGATATACTACTTCGTAGTATATAAAATGAAGCAGTGGCAAATATATTATTACAGAAGAGTAAAGTTAATACCTAAAAATTGTATCCGGCATTCCTCCAAAGAGATAAATTTCTCAATCACAACTAGCCTTTTGAGTCAAAAGCTTATGAAAATTGTCTCGTTTTATTTTCATGTAGAGTATAGAATATTAGAGTACATGTCACTTTGAATTTCTATTTTTAGGAATTGGACTTGTGCTCAAATTTTCAGATTTTTGTTTAAAAGAATACACAATCATTCATAGTAAATAGATTGATAGAGACTATGTGTCACTTTTTTATCTTTACGTTTCTTTTTTTATTTCTTTCATTTTTTACACTTAGTAGATACTCCGTATTTAATTAAAAATTAGGAAAACAAATAAGACATTTACTTATAATTTAGGGGGGCCAGTTTTTTGGCCCTTTTCCATGAATATACGAAATATATCACGTACTCAAGGATATATTCAAGGATTAGTTCTTAGTGACTCAACATTTATTAGTGATTTGTCACTATAAAGTCATTATAATGACTCTTGTGCATAGTGACCAGTTTTACTTTTGTCTAAAAACATAACTAATCATATTTTTGTTTGACAAATCTTTATTAGTAATATGCATGTCATTTTTTCCAATTTTTTGGGAAGGCCAATTTATTGTTTTCATTTTAGAAAAAATTACACATATATTACTACTTTGAATCTCTCTAATAAAAATATGACTACTAATTGAAAGAACAAAGTGATTTTCCTATAACTACTCCTAGATTGCCGTAGGTGATGAATACTTACTCACTTTTTTGTAAACCCGAACTATATTGATAATATTTGTCTAAAAAACTCTTCATTATATACGTAGTACGATTGTACGAACTACTACGAAGTAATAATAAAAACATATTTTTGGGGGGCTGTGGCTCGTGAGCCTCTACTAGAGTAGATCCGCCCCTGATGTCATCCATATTTGTACTAATTTATATGCGAGATTAAAAGTGACAAGTAAAAGTGAAACAATATGGAGTACATGAGATTTGTAGTTGGTGAAAATTATCTAAGAAGGGCAACATGAAGAGATTAAAACTAATCGGCAAAGCGTAATTAATGAAAAGTTAATGTCATGCAAACAAAATGTTCAAAATGAGTACGAAGAAGAAAAAAGAAAAATAGCGGGTCTATTGACGGGAGAAGATCGACAATGCATGTGAGTATAAAAACCTAAATCGCCTATCTAGGAATTACATAAGGAGTACTTCCTCCCGACTCATTCAACTTTGTCAACCTCTTTTTTGTTTATCTTTTTTTGAAAGGAAATAAATTTCATTACTCAACTCAAACTCTCAGTATGAAGCTGAGAGATGATACAGTTTGGCCGGTTACAAACCATATAAAAACCATCCGACAAAGAAAGAACAGCCCTAGCTAATTTATGAGCTACTACATTCGCGGATCTTCTACCATGAATGACTTCTATCCTAGCTTTATTGCGAAGACTGAGTCTTATGTCATCTAGAATAGTATCCAAATACGAGTCCCCTTCTCTCCCTACCAAGCCCGATGCTACCACCTGGGACTCTGTCTCCAGTTCAACCCTCTCCCAACTCTGAGTTTTTGCCCAACCCAGAACCTCACGTACTCCGATTGCTTCGGTGACCTCCGCTGACCAGCTGGCCTCTTCCACATTCCAACCGCCTCTAATAAAGTTGCCTTGCGCATCCCTGGCCACCCATGCACGCCTATTGTTTTGCATGTCCAGAGCCGCATCCACATTGATTTTGACAATACCTACTGCTGGTTTCTTCCATCCTCGCATTTTCTCTAACGCCTTTCCTGTGCTGCTGGTCTCTACCTGAGCCTCCTTCCATCCACGTAAGACTGCCGCTCCTATCTCCACACATTGGCGCCATTCCGCAGCTTGATCCTTCCAGACTTCGTCATTCCGCATCTTCCATATGCTCCACATATTAGCAATAAAAATACACAGTTCCTCCTCCTGCAAATTATCAAAAAAATTCTTAACCCATTCAACAAAGTTATGTCCCTGTCGGACATAGCGGGCCCCAAGCATCCTCCACACCGTAGAGGCTACTCCGCAAGTTTTAAAAATGTGCTCCTCAGACTCATCCTCCTCTTCACAAATTCTGCACCCAGTTTCCACCTCCACATGTCTGCGCCGAAGATTATTGGCAGTAGGCAGACAACCCGCCATTACCTGCCAAAAAAAGCACTTCATTTTTGGTGGAATTAAGTTCCACATCTTGGTCCATCCCAGCCACCCCTGACTTGCACACTCCCCACGTAGAAATATGTAACCACTCTTCACAGTATAGATCCCTCTGCTATCCTCATTCCACCACACCCCATCTGCAGGTCTTCTGCTGCTTATAGGAATAGACAAAATAGCTTTGCTATCCTCAGTGGAGAAAATAGTATTTATCCTCCCCCTGTTCCACTGATCCCCTTGTTCATTAAGCAGCGCCGCTACGTTCATATCAGCAATTCATGTTGGCGGTCTAGACTGTACCCGCCCCGAGCCCTTTCCTGGAAGCCACCGCTCACGCCAAACTGATATGGTCTGGCCATTACCCACTTTTCGCCGTATCCCTTGGTCCAGCATCTCCTGAGTCTGTATTATGCTACTCCAGATAAAAGAGGGATTATTCCCCAATTTGGCCTGCAAAAATGAAGAATTAGGGAAATATTTAGCTTTAAAAATTCTCCCTACTAGCGAGAATTTTTGTTTATCTAAAAAATATTTTCACTTTTTTATCAATTTTTTGTTTATCTAAAAAATATTTTCACTTTTTCTCTAAAACAATGGTTTTGCTTCTTTTTTTTTCGTTCACAATCTTCAATCTCACAAAATTATAACTTTTCTTATTTCCCATCTAATTTAAAGTTGACAAAGTCCACTTGAACAAATTGAAGGTGCACGTAATAGAACCTAATTAACCTTTTAGCCATTTTGCGGTAAAATATACTACATAATCATGTTTGGTAATCATGTTTTCACCTTATAATATCAGTCAACATCTCACTAAACACGTAACTTGTAAACTTTTTTAAGCTAGATTATGTGATGTTATTGTAGACGAACATTTTAACAATTTTTAATACAATTTTTATTTAGTTTATTAATAAAATTTATTTTAAATAATTTTTTATAAATTTAAAATATAGTCAATAAAATCAGCCAATCCATTCTCTTCAGTCAGAACTTCATACATTTCACCAGAATCACTCGATTCATTCAATTTCAGTGTTACCAAATAAGCTCTTGATTAAAAATACCGAATCTATAAAAATTGGTGATTTTTCAAAATCTATAAAATATCGAATAATCTAAATAATGAAAAATATACCATGTTGGCCCCATAATTAAATTTACAATTATATGTTTTTGGATAAAAATCTCATGATATTTAAATGCTCGTTGATGGACAAAAATACCTTTATTAAAAATATGCACTTTGAACTACTCTCATGCAGGCATTATTGTACGACATTACTGCACTTCATGAAGTTGTTACTAACATGACATTACAAAAAATAGGATTCTATCATTCTTTTTTTTTACATATATTTGTAAACTTCAGGTTTTACTTCTTGTTAGATATACTGCACTTTATGCCAGTGTTATTTCACTTCATGCCAGAGTCACTGCATAACATTACGAAAACGTTAAGAATTTGTAGATCTTTATTTTCTTTTTAGATTTGATAACTTCAATTTTTACATTTAACTGAATACTACATTCAATAAAAATTACTGATTGCGCTCAATATTCACTGGCCTAGAATTTAATGTGTAATAAAAACAAAAATAATAAAAAAGTATATTAACTTACAAAAAATCTTAAAAAATTTAAATTCGTAAATATTTTTTAAAATATTAAAATAATAAAAATTTAAATAAAATATTTTTTTCTGAAAACATACGTAGTATAAACTTTTAAAATAAATAAAAATAGATAAAAAAAATAAAAAAAATAAAAAAATATAGAGGCTTTTCCCGCAGCCTCGGCCACCTCCCAGAAATGCCACCTTCGATAGGCAAAAAAAATCTCATTTTATTTAAAAATTGCCATTTTTCTCTAAAAATGTCAAAGTTTAATTTTCTCGAAAACTGTCATCAAGATGACATTTCTTACACTTCTTGGCATTTTTCCGGTGGTCGAATCTGGTGGTTCAGCGAGGTTGTTGAGGCGGCAGCAGAAGTCCACATATTCTTTATATATTTTAAAAAAATTTTAAGTTTTTAATATTTTTTCTCCTAATTTTTTATTTTTATTAATTTTTTTTATTGTTTTACTATTAGTAAATTTATGTTATTACTTTTATGTTTTAATTATTAATGAAATATGAATTATGTTAAAACAAAGAAAGGGTAGAATATTCCTATCTAGAGAATTTTTAAATTGCAATCCTATTTTTGCAGTTAAAGTTTCATTTAGTCATATTTGGGAAATTCCTCCAATTAGATACCGCATATAAAAGTATTTATGATATGAGAATAATATCAAAGCATGTTTTGTAAAAAAATAATATTGTAAAGTATAATTCATCAAAAAAAAAATTGTAAAGTATAAAATTCATAAATTTTGTAAGAATAAATTAATTAAAAGGATTGACCAAACTACTATCACTTGTTATACGTAGTATAATATAAATAAACAAATTGAAGTTTTCTCTTTCTTTTCCGCCTACCAAGCGCAAGCTTAGTCTCTCTTCCTGGCATGCGATTCTTTGACCTTCCCACCCACCATAATGTCATATCATGGCATAAGTGTAGTATGTAGTGTACATATATATACAACCATACATCTCAAGACAATCAATCAAGCATTCTATTTTTAATTGTTAATAATTAATCAGAGCCAGTAATATTGTTTAATTAGTTAGTTTAGCAACATGAAGTGCTTGGTTATTAGCAAAATTGGTGTTTTAGTTCTAGTTTTGTTAGCCACGAGCGCAGCCATAGCACTAGGCCAAGGCACCAGTGTAGGGTTCTACCGATCCTCGTGTCCCACGGCGGAGCAAATAGTAAAAGCGACGGTGCGGTCGCATTACCAGTCGGACACGACGGTTGCGCCCGGGCTGCTGAGGATGATCTTCCATGACTGCTTCGTGCATGGTTGCGACGGTTCCATTCTCATCACCGGCCCGAACTCCGAGAGGACTGCCCCTCCTAACCTACGGCTGAGAGGATTTGAGGTCATAGACGATGCTAAAACAAAGCTCGAAGCTGCCTGCCCGGGGGTTGTTTCTTGTGCTGACATTCTCGCTCTTGCTGCCCGTGATTCTGTTGAGCTGGTAATTCTTAAATTACATACTCTCAATCTCTCCGTTATTACGTGAAAATACAAAACAATATACCGAGTACCATAAAGCTGGTTTAATTTGACTTTTCTTTGTCAATGATAGTTAAGTTTGACAAATGATAGTTACTTTTTAATATGTGAAAATTTAAAATATAAATACTTCCTCCGTTCTTTTTTAATTGCAACAGTCAACATTTCACGTTTGCCAACGCACAAGTTTGACCATTAATATCTTTCATTCTTTATCAGTAAAAAAATTAAAAAAAATCATATTTTGAAAATTTAGAATAAGAAGAATTTAACAATATTTTTTAAAAATTTAATTTATTATACATCAATTAATAAAATGTAGTCAAAGTAGAACATGCGAATAGTGCAAAAAGTCTAATGTTGCAACTAAAAGAGAACGGAGGTAGTATTATATATATGAAATCAAGCTTTGTTAAAGAAATTTTCATACCAGCGTAATAACTAATTAAAATTATTGTTCAAAGTTTATTATCATTGGCTATGAAAAGTCAATTTGACCAAATTTTATGAGACGAGTATTATAAAACACATGCTACTCCCTTTATTAGTTTGAACTTTTCTTATGACACTCCCAAAACTTTAATATATTAAGGGCCTAAGGGGCGATCGAGTTTGTGCATCGGTTACGACTTACGATGTTGCCGTATGAATGAAATGTCACGAATTCAAATCTTGGAAGCGACTTATTGGAGATATATGACACTAATGTGCATTGGGCTATCCTGTTTTCTCTCCCCATTATGAAAATGGATTTTTCTTTGATTATTGAGAATCAATTGCCCACACTTAACTTCCATTGGAAAATGAAACGAACGAACCTTATATATACTACTTTAATTTCCTACATTGCTTTTGGCTACGGACATTTGTTAAGAAAGTGGGATAAAAATAAGAACGGCCTCTTTTGATCGATCAAAGGAGGCTGCCCTAGTAAAACAACTAGCTATATGCTCCAATTATATTGGTCTCATTTGTTTTTTTGTATTGATGTTGATAATATAAGAAGTTGAAAAGAAAAGGTAAACATATCTAGACATACATAAATATATGTCTTTAATTTAGGAGTTTAAAAATAGGAAAGGATAAGGATGAAATGTACTACGTATTATATTCCGTATGTTTTTTGTCAGCAAAGTTTTGTCTTTTAGATGCTGAAAGATAATGTTTACGAAGAATTGAAATAAGTTTTCTAAAAAAATAAGTTTTCTGAAATAAGTTGTCAGATAAGTTTTTTTGAAAGAAGTTTTCCTGTTTTAGTTTGATGAGTGAATGTGGGAAATTGCATTATTGCAATTTGATGCAGACGGGAGGGATAAGTTGGGCAGTACCAACGGGGCGGCGGGATGGGAGGGTGTCATTGGCGTCAGACACGGCTAATCTTCCGAGTTTCACGGACACCGTTGACGTCCAGAAGCAAAAGTTTCTAGCCAAAGGCCTCAACACTCAAGATCTCGTTGCTCTCGTCGGTAAGCATTAATCTATATACCCACTTTCAATTCATCAAAACCCAAGTCAATATCAGTAATTAATAATCTAATGAATTCACATTTGGCCATATATTATACACAAAATGTTGTAATACATTATATCTAATGAAATTATGTGAGCAAAGGTAGTAATGGATCCTTCCTGAAAAATAAAGAGTGAATGATCTGCCCTAGATTGATGAAAACCGACCCCAATAAGGGCTTGAGTGAATTTTTGGTACCAATTACGGGATGCCTGTCGTAGCCCGTACAAGGATTTTTGTAGTTTGCAAACACGTGTGTCCCCTTCCTTGGTAAATCCCGCCGGTAGACGCATGTAGACATCTTCAGAAAGGTCTCCGTGGAGAAATGCATTGTTTACATCCAATTGGTGTACAATCCAATTTTTCTTGGCGGCAACTGCTAACACACACCGAACTGTAACAAGTTTGGCCACAGGGGCAAAAGTCTCGTGAAAGTCAACACCTTCAACTTGCGTAAATCCCTTGGCTACTAATCTAGCCTTGTATCGCTCCACATCACCATTAGGTTTATATTTAATTTTATAAACCCATTTTGAATCAATCGGCTTCTTTCCTGGCGGTAATGAGACAAGTGCCCATGTGTTATTTTGTTCCAATGCGTCAATTTCTTTTTGCATTGCTTCTCTCCATAAAGGATCTCGTACTGCTTGTGAGAAATTTTTAGGCTCATCACGAGATGTGATGGCAGCAAGATAGGCTCGGTGAGTGTTAGAAAATTTTTCATAATTAATGAATTGTGAAATTGGGTATACCTTCGTGGCAGCATGATTGGCAGTGGTCCGTGATGGAGAAAGAGAGGGTGGCAAGTCAGTTTCATAATCAGCTAGGTGCTTAGGGAGTTTCCGAACTCTAGCACGTCGGTGGGGCTCATTGGGTGCTGATTGAGACTCAATTAAATTCGACAGCTGCTGCATGACGGTGGGAGCCGACTGCTTATTATCCAGAAGTGTAGTTTCTTGCGGGACCTGCACGGTATCGTCAGTACCAGTTGGCTGAGAGACTCCAAAAATTGGGTTGTCCGTGCTAGGGGCCGGCTGTGCAGACTGGTCAGCCCTTGCCGACGGTGGGTCCTTCATGGGTGGCTGATGAATGGTGATCTGCAGCTCATCTACGCTAGGCTGCTGCCCATGGGAGGAGTTTCCATGCAACTTGGTGATGTGAGGTGGGGCCTGGTCATTGAAGTTGGGGTCTCCTTCTGTACGCCGGTTGTTCACTTGTGAAGGTGGGATGTATTCACTGGCTGAATAAGGACAAGAGGAGCCATGTGATGGATCAGCCAAAAAATTTCCTGGAGCGTCATTTGTGATTTGTTGATAAATCTTATCAACTAGTACTTCAAAGTCAACTTCCGGACAGATTGAAATTTTGAACGGGAATTTTTCTTCAAAAAAGGTTACGTCTCTAGAGCTGTAGATGATTTGTTTGTGAAGATCAAAGACCCGATACGCCTTTTGCCCATTAGGATATCCGATAAATATGCAAGGACTCCCCCTCTCACCAAACTTATCCTTTTGTTTATTGTTATGAGCATATACCAGACAACCAAAAACCCGCAAATGATCATAATTTGGTATTTTCCCAAATAACATTTCATAAGGAGTCTTATTTTTTATAATGGGAGATGGAAGTCTATTAATGATATAGACGGCTGTCAAAATACATTCTCCCCAAAAATTAATTGGTAATCCAGCTTGGAAGCGAAGTGCCCTCGCAACTTCTAATATGTGTCTGTGTTTGCGTTCAACAACACCATTTTGTTGTGGTGTGTCGGTGCATGATGTTTCCAACAAAATTCCATTTTGGTTATAGTAATCAGATAAAAATCTGGTTTGAAACTCAGCACCGTTATCTGCCCGGACTCGTTTAACCCGTTGTTCAAATTGGGTTTTTACTAAATTAAAAAATTGAATCAAAAGTTGGGGAACTTCTGATTTATTTTTCATTAAGTAAACCCAAACACCCCTTGTAAAATCATCTACTATAGTCATGAAATAACGTGCACCGGAAATGGAATCACATTTATAGCCGCCCCAAATATCACAATGTATTAATTCAAAGCAACGAGTTGTCTTAATGGTACTGACAGGAAAAGGCAAACGAGTCTGTTTGGCTCGTACGCATGAGTCACAGAAATTATTGCTCCGTCTGAAACCTTGGAGAGAACTGATGAAATTTAATTTTCCGTCAGAAGCATGTCCTAAACGTTGATGCCATAAATCATGATGGAGAGAAACTGACATTGCCACCTTCTCATTTATTGGAATTTCAAGGTAGTATAAACCATCACGGAGTCGGCCCACCCCAATCAGCTTCCTCGAGGGTAAGTCCTGCAAAGTGCACAAATCATTAAAAAATGTGAGTGTACAGTTGGTATCTTTTGTAAGGCGGCTAACTGAAAGTAAGTTACACCGGAACTCCGGAATATACAAAACTTGTTGTAAGCGGAGTCCGTTAAATAAATCCAAGCTGCCAATAGCTTGAACCGGAACCGAATCACCGTTAGGAATCTTGACAGACGGTATATGAATATGAGTCCGGATGTCAATGAGACCGTCATTATTATAAATAATGTGTTCACTTGCTCCGGAGTCTATTATCCAGGTGCGGCCTTTTGATAGTGTACCTGCCATATTTATTTTGATATTAGAAGATGAGTGTGTGCTTGTTTCGTCCTGTAGCTCATGCCTTACAAGTCTGGCCAATTTTTGGAGTTGTTCATCAGAAATTCCCAATTGGTTGTCTTGTTTACTGTCCACATGTGCTATTTGAGGTGAAGGATTATTGCGGTTGGAAGTAAGCACCTCACGGATTCCTCCTTCACGTGAGACACGTGGGTCTCCACCAATTCTAGCTTGAGTCAAAGTCCCTGGCAGCCTACTATCTTTCCCTTTAATATTCCAATTGGGTGGATAACCAATACGTGCAAAGCATGCATCGTAAGTATGGTTAGTCCTTCCACAATAGGAGCAAGACCGACTTTCCTTTGCAGTTGAACGTCGTCCTGGAATTGGCTCTCTTTTAGTTTGTGTGTAAAAAGCCGTACCATCACCACCTGGTTTGCGTGCGGATGTGATAGACCTGTGTTGTTCACTCTCTGAAACAAGATGATATGCGGCGGTGAGAGTAGGAACCGGCCTTGTTGCCAGAATCTGGCTCTTCAATTGTGCATAAGCATCGTCCAAACCCATCAAGAAATCATAAAGACGGTCTCTATCGCGGGAATCAATTATCTGTTTAGAAATATTGCACGAACACTTACCACACGTGCAATTAGGCGCCGTGTTTATAGAGACCATTTCATCCCACACACGACGTAACCTGCTAAAATAGGCCGAAATAGACTGGCCATCTTGTCGAATGTTGCTAAGGGAGCACCGAAGCTCATAAGCGCGTGGAGCACTCTCCTTCGCAAATCTTTCTTTTAAATCAGTCCAGATCTCTTGGGCCGTTTTGAACTTCACACTTTGCCTTAGCTCCATCTCCATGCTACTATTGAGCCAACCTTTAACCATGGCATTTGCTCGTTGCCAATATGGAAGGTATGGTGAGTCGGACTGAGGCATCGGTATATCACCATTTACAAAGCCAAATTTATTTTTGGCATATAGGGCGTTGCTCATTTCATCGAGCCAATCTCCATAGTTTCCATCTCGAAGAGTCAAAGTAACATGGATATCTCCGGGCTTATCTCCGGATTGGATAAAATAAGGTGACATGGAATCAATGACTATGTCTTTGGCCTTGGTTTCACCATCACCCGCCATAATTTAGAAAGGGAATAAAGGAGAAGATAGGGTAAAGGGCTCTTACAAAAATAATATGGAGAGATTTTTTTTTTTTTTTTTTTTTTTTTTTAATATATATATATATACTATTTTCAGGATTTCGTCTCTGATACCATGATAAAAATATAAATGGATAAATATATAATTGGCTAAAGTAAAATATACTGGAATTATTTAGGAGAGAATACTTCACAAATAGAAGCCTCGTATTTTTCTTCATTTCTTCCTGGTCATACGGATAGATATATTTATATTACATGGGAGGCCTATCCTTGCTAAGGGAGAGAGAATTATTGCAATACAAGTGCATGTGCATGCACTCCTACGTATACAAAGAAAGTACTAACATTTACATGTGCTATTGTGTAAGCATTACAATGTGATGAGACATATACATGTTCCTAGAGGGAAAATGTATTAGGCAAGTCATATTATGGATCTCAATAAAAAACACATAAATTCAAATTAATGAAACTTGTCTCCGATCCCTTCCTTTACACGGTCTTCTACAATTCTATGTAGCATATTTTAGTCATTTCCTCTAACATTGCGGAGAAGTAGTTATAACAATGCTCTAGCATCATGTGTTGTACAATTTAATCTCATTTTATTTAATTGTTCATTGTGGATGATTTTTTTTTACCCCGGAAGGCCAACCACCAAAATCAGTAGGGTAAATGCCGGGGGACATTTACCAGTGTTTTATTTAAAGTAGCGAAAGATACAAGGGGGACTAGGCCTTACCCAACAGAATTACAATGATTTTAAACAAATCTAAAATAACTGAGACCAAGTTTATCAGCAATAATTGATTTACGAATAATTGCAGTGTGGATGATTATATGTAGTTTTTGTTGAACGTCAATAACGAAATCGCAACATATCTTGGCATGAGAGTGTTTCATCTTGTTGTTTTCGACATTTAACTCGATCTCACACATTTTAATGGATACTCTCAGTCCTTCACACAATTAGATCATGTTTTGATAAATTGAGGTAATCTTGTTCACTTTGGCTATTACTTATTTAAAAATCCTCCATTGTATCGTGGAATAATTTGTCTAACTATTATAGATTTTATATATGCATATTTCTCAATACGAAAAGTCAAATGTTATTTTTGAAGAACTTGAGGTGAGGGTCAAACTATGAACTTCATTATAGGAAAAATGCCACCTACTTGTAATGTTGTACAAGTCTACTGACCCGACAAATGTTTTTTGTGTGTGAACAGACAATTTGTTTTCATTTTAATAAAGGATAAAGGAAAATGTTTGTAATCATGGAAAAATGAATTGTCTATGCACAATCAACAAAAATTTTCGATGTCACGGATCGTCATCTTTCAAAAAACAAAAAACAATTGTCTATCTGCAAGGAAAAAAAGTAGGGTCCAAGTCGTGTGTACACGTAGAATGTTTGTAATTGTAGAGGTTTGTGATAATTCTCACACAAACAATCCAATTCATGGTCAAATATGAAACAAATATTGGGACACTCAACCCCAACACTAAAATACCAACACCCATCACAATATTAATAATTATAATTATTATTACTGATATTAATCAACATCATCATCTTGTTATTGTTAATAGGGTCGCACACAATTGGGACAGCAGCTTGCCAGTTCTTCAGCTACAGACTCTTCAATGCCAGCGCAGACCCTCCAGTAGACCCATCATTCCTCTCCACGCTTCAGGCTCTCTGTCCCCAAGGCGGCGACGGCAACAAGCGGGTGGCTCTCGACGACGGCAGCGTCATTAACTTTGATAACTCTTACTTCTCGAATCTCCAAAAGGGTCGTGGGGTTCTTGAATCTGACCAGAGACTGTGGGCCGATATGTCTACCAAAACGTACGTTCAGCGATTCCTGGGCCTTAGAGGGTTTCTTGGGCTTAGGTTCCCCTTGGAGTTTGGGCGGTCCATGGTTAAAATGACTAATATTGAGGTTAAAACGGGGAGTGATGGTGAAATTCGAAAAGTTTGCTCTGCTACTAACTGATCTTGCATGCATGGGCGAAGGGCTTTTATATCTCATGATTTGATGATTTAGCATTTACCATTTTAATCATCATATTAAAATATGATGATTTATCATTTATCATTTTTCACTTGTTTCATAATTATCAACGCAAGTTGTTGCAATTGTAATGATTTCCCTCAAATAAATAATCTATCTATTCCTAATTCGCTTCTCACTTTTGATTTGAAATTAAACACTCACTTCCCTTTTTAGTACACGTAATATTTAAGTGGTAAATATCTTTTTACTCCTATGGAAAATATATTACGTAGTACTACGTATTAATTATATACTACTACTATCATATTACACTGAATTCAAATTAACAACTTAGTTACAGGACGGAAAAAGTGGTTGTTTAAAAAAACACTTATTTTATCAAACTCTACCGACTTTTATTTTTCTCCGCTTTCATGTAGAATCTACTTTTTACTTTTTCTATTACACAAAAAGCATTTATCTTACCAAACATTACCAACTTTTACTATTAATCACTTTTTCCCAAAAAAGTGCTTTTTTTAAACACAAGCACTTGCAAACAAAGCCTAAAAAAGTGAATGAAACTTAGAGAAAAATGGGAGTAAGAACATCAATTTATTGAAGTCCTGCTTTGGAGTGAGATTCCTATTAATATTGTTTATAATGAAATAAACCTTTATAATTACATACACTTCATCTAATCCAGTATATTACTCCCTCCGTCCCTGAAACAACTTCTCACTTTCCTTATTTGGATGTCCCTAATTTAACTTCCTATTTCCTTAAATGACAAGTTATCCACATCAAAACAGTGTCAAACAGTGTCGAAACAGTGTCAAAAGAGTAAAATTTATCCCCTGGTAAGTTTATTTACTTAATATGTGTGTAAATCAAACCAGGAAGTTGTTTCAAGGACGGATGTAGTACATATTAGTTTAGGGCGATTCCAATTACAATTCACTTTTGCATCATAAATGCAAATAAGATTATCATCTTTCACAAATGTCCTCAAAAAAAAGATCAAAAACATACTCCACATCTCATAAGAATATTTTAGTACCAATTTTTTTAAGGAGATCCATAGCCCATATGGGCCTATGGGGTATTGTGCATCATCATCATCATTTATTTTTAGGGGGGAGGAAGGGGGGGCTTCACTACAAAAATAGGTGATATTAATGGTGTCACAATACCATATATCACTCTATATAAGTAAGTCATATTGGTCTATAGATCTACTCAATTTAGGACGTATGAAACAATGATGGTTGTTTTAACACTTTTAATCATGAAATTTGTTATATGTTTAATCAAACATTAGTCGTGTATGAACGTATAAGTGCATGATCACTTTTAAAATATAAACTTAGTCATTATAATGAAAAATGAAAATTTAGATCATCACATTAACCTCAATAACCACTGAATCACGGCAAGAATACCACTATGTATAATGCTATGTATTTGTCAATTAATTTTATTCAAGTCTTTCATATGTCATTAATTCTAAAGTCCTAAGTTCAATCGTGTATAAGTGATCAAAAGGTCTCATCTTTGTTTTTAAACCAACACCATGATGGTTCAACCAAGACCCAAAACGACATTCTTTTTGAAGTTTTCAAAGTTGAACAAAGGGGAGTTTGTGCTGATCATATTTAAAATTTTAAAATTTCAATAGAGGGCATAGAGAAATCCATGTAGGACTTCATATGTGGAGATAATTTCTAGATCGAAATGACTCTTAGCCTTTACACTTTTTAGTTCTTACAACCCGAGAGCTCCAAGAGGCGTCTTCCCTTGCCCCGCCTCAAGGAAGAATATCAACATAGCCAACATCGCAAGCCTTGCGTGTTTTATCTCCGCAACCTTTAATCTTTCGAGCTTCTCCGTGTCAGCCACATAAACACCGTTCTCAATGCTGCCCGCTAACGAAAGCGGGTCGAAGAACTTGCCACCCGGATAGCCTTGATCGCCCGTGGCGTTAGCGAAGTTTTGGGCGGTTTTCGACCACGGGGTGGCCCAATCTACGGATTGGGAACCTGGGTTGTAGAAATCTACCCATCTCTTGGTTTCGACCCAGCCCATGAGGAGAAGCTGGGTGCCGAGGAGTGAGCCGAAGGAGAAGGGCGCGACTGCTCCCGGGTCGGCTCCCGCCTCGAACCATGGGATGCCACTCCATGCCTGACCCACAAAGATGCCTACAACCGCCGCCATTGCCCACCTGCCGTGGATCAGCTCTGCTTCTCTGTACCATTTCAGGGATGCCGGGTCTCTTCCTAGACCCAACGGGTCAAACCCATAATCCCCTGCCAGCCTGCACATTTCAGTATTTCACGATCCAATCACATTTGGCCATTATGAAAAGGGGGAATTTGACTTTGCACCCCACTTTTTGGTTGATATTGGACTTTGCACCCCATTTTAAAAAAACTTTGATTTTGCACCCCATTTTACTTCAAAATCCTTTGACTTTGCACCCCATTTAGACATTTCCCTTCACAAATGTTATATGATAGGGTGCAAAGTCAAAGGTTTTTTAAAATGGGGTGCAAAGTCCAATATCAACCAAAAAGTGGGGTGCAAAGTCAAATTCTCCCTTATGAAAAACGGATGATCAATGTTCTGAACAGAGCTAACAGAACTTTGAGCAAACGTGAATTTTCACATTTGTCATCCATTTATTAAATATTGAACAGTAAGATAATCCTTTATTATTTAACTGAACGACATATATGAAGATTGAAGAATCCACACAAAAAGTGTACCAAAAAAACATTCCCTTCGACTTTATCTTGACTGAAACCCCCAAACTATCCGAGAGCTTAGCATATAAGTCCTACAACTTGTAATCCACCAATCCAATCTTAAAATTAAAAAAAAAAATCCTAGAGCCCGTTTGATAATACCCAAATCGGCTGCATTGGCTGATTCTGTTGATACCTATGAAGTTATGGCTGGATTGACTGATTGTTTTGATTTATGGAGAAAATTATATTTAAACTATATTTTGTTAATTAATTATAGAAAAATTAAATTTGAAAAGTAACTCCAACTTTACTTTTTCTTATTACTACACAATTCACGGCCGAAATAAAAAAAAATTGTGTTTAGTGAAAAGATTGGTTGATAAGGAGAAAAATAGGGTCCCCAAACAATCAAGCATCATTATTTCCTTTTTTAACATTCGTTCACTTCATCGATATAAAAAAATCATTCGTTCACTTCATTATCTTTTTTAACATTCATTCACTTGTTATTGGGGAAGTTTTATGCTTGTATAACTAAATAAATCCTATTTTAGAAATAAAATATAATTACTTCTATTTGTACACTCTATGTTGTACTCCTAATCAAAACAATTCCTTTAAAATAAAAATACGAGTCTTATACAAGTTAAGAGAAAACAATTAGTTTATAATACTTGGTCCAGTTGTTTCAAAGACAAATGAAATAGCTCTACCGAATCACATGAAGTCTATTAGTTTATCACATATAAAACCAAGTAAACCAACTAAGGTCAATAAGTGATCTTATAAAATGGTTTATAAGACTTGCTCTAAGTGATTTAATTTCTTAATTTATCAGGCTTTAAAGTTCAAACTAGCATTTTCAAATTCAGTGTACCTAACGAGTAACGAGTAATTGATCATAATTCATCTCTTTTCAAATTCACAGTGGTGCAATCTTTTTTGTCAAATAAAAAGCACCAAAGGTAATAATGATATGTTAACACCACCTTATTTTTTTAGAAGAAAAAGTGTTCGATAAAATTGAATGTACCTACTTTATTTTAGCAAGTTAATGTCTACATTTTATACTATATAAGCATAATTTGGGAAAAGGGCCAATTAATGGTAAATAAAAAATGACCCAAACAAATGAACAATGCCTAATTAATGCACAAGTATAAGAACAGACTAATTCTTCAAATTGGTAAGCTTCAAGATTGCATCTTTTCCAAACAAGCATGATTCTACCTCTCAGTAAATATTCCATCCCTAACCAAATTATGAATAATATCACCCAGATAAAACTTAAATCATACCAAACGGCGCCTAATAATTACACAGAAGAAGAGAGAAAACATACGAGCCATCCAGCCATTCAGGATCAACTAGGTTGCCGCCGCCTCTAACGGCGGGGATCCAAGATTTCTTCTGAGCAGCAGCAGCAGCCGCCACAACCAACCTCTTATGAGAAGCCGCTGCACCGCCGGCTCTGGCGGAGAGAGGAGAAGCTAACAAGGCGTTGATGTTCTTTCCAGCGGCCAAGAAGGAGGAACTCAACCCATGTAGCACAGCTGCAGATGTGGTTGCCATTTGTGTCCAGCAATTCCTCCTTGAGATTTTAAGGCTGAGATGAGAGAGGATGGATAGAGGATCAAAGGTTCTTCTTTTGAAAGGGCAGCCAAGTAGGATTGTGTTCACTCTTTTGTTGATAGATTTTAGACCAATAATATGAAGACACCTATGATTATTGTTTAAATCGTCCATTTTTGGGCATGCTCATTCCACGTGTATCAATTATGCTTAGTGGTATTTTAACTTGAACAGTGATAGAAAACAAACTTCAGAAAAAAATACTACGTATGTTATTGTTGGTGTAAACATATTTTGTATACTTTTTCCACACTTATTTGTTTATACAGATGGTTTGTATACAGATGTGTCAAATGAATACACAAAAGAGTATACATCATCAAGTACTGTTCTCAGACTATTTCAATAGTCACAGTCAAAATACCGGATTCAAGTTTAAAGTTCAACCAAAACAGAAATTAAAGAAATGAACACACGATATGTTGACGCAATTCGGATAAATCCTACTCTGCGGGGTTTCAACAGGGGAAACCCGGTCCCAAGAATCCACTAGCTCAGAAAAGTTTGAATACACAGATGATTCCAAAGCAAGATCAGAAAATAATACGATCCAACACACAAGAATCAGCCAAAACACAAGCAATGTAATAGAATTAGTAAAAGGAATAGAAATAACCGAACCAAGCTTCCAAAACCTAGGTGTGTGCAGATTCTTGGATTCAAACCAACAGCCCAGCGTTTAAGCTTCGCCACAAGATTGATTTCCAACCTTTCTCAGCTTATTCTGGCCTCAGGTGAATTAGAAACGAACGGACTGAAAACCAGAGGTTTCTCACTCATTCAACGCACAAGCTCTCAGAATCGCCTCTCTGTAGTTAGGGTTTCAAAATGACGCGTAGATGTCTCCAGAAGAGTGGAAGGAGACTTTTATATGCGAATCAAACGAGCTTGGTCAAAAGAAGAAGAACCGGACTGGACAAAGAATTATCAGGCCCAAGTCATAACGGAAAAGACTGAAACGGGCCAGACCAAAATCTAATGGTCTAATTGATTTAATCAATTAGAATCCATTAAATAAGATTACTCTCTAGCCTTGCTTTGCCTTCCTATCTAAGTATTAAAACATCATGATAAATACAACTAGAATTAGGAGGGAGCTGAGAAATGTTTGTATACAGAATAAGTTTGTATACAGAATAAGTATTAGTGTCATTACTCATTTGTTTGTATACAAACATCTTATATGTCTAGACTTTACTCATTTACTCATTTATAGAATAAGTATTAGTGTCATTACAAACATATATGTCTAGACTTTACTCATTTGTTTGTATACAGAATAAGTTTCACCCCTTCCATCTTCATAATCATGTGTCATTCCATCTCTATCACCCTAGCACAGCTCATAAGAGCAGTTATCATCATTGCTAGTGTCAGGATTCAAGAGACCAGATCACATCCTTTCATCATCAACCCAAACAAGTACATTTACGTTCAAGGTACTTCAAAGATTTTGAAGAACTGCCTGCAAAACAAAAACTTAGCAGTAGGAACAATTTTAGTACCAAAATCAGCAGGATTAAAATCTCCAGTAATCTTATCAATTCTTATATTACCTTTAGAAATCTCATCCCTAATGTAATGAAATCTAACATCTATGTGTTTAGTATTTTCACGATACATAGGGTCTTTGCACAAATATATGGCACTTTGGCTATCAGAGAAGACAATAGGAACAATATTTGTCCCCAACACTTCACCCACTATACCTTTTAACCATTTTGCCTCTTTGATAGTCTCAGTGGCTGCAATATATTCAGCCTCTGTAGTAGACAAAGCTACTACATATTGCAATTGAGATTTCCAAGATACACAGTTACCAGCCCAAGTAAAGAACCAAGAAGTAGTTGACTTCCTTGAGTCTTTACATCCAGCATAATCAAAATCAACAAAACCTTTCAGATCACATAATTCAGTGTTAGAGTATTTCAGACCTAGGTTCTTAGTACCAGACAAATATCTTAGAGTATATTTCATAGCAGTCCAATGTTTGGTCCTAGGACCAGACATAAATCTGCTAAGTATGCTAACAGAAAAAGCAAGATCAGGCCTAGTACAAAGCATGGCATACATGAGAGAACCAAAAGCAACATCATAGGGAATCTTAGCCATCTTCTCAGATTCTTCTAAAGTCATAGGATAGGGATCTCTAGAAAGTTCTAAATGACCTCCTAGGGGTAAGGGGGTTGATTTAGAGTCATTCATATTAAACATATCCAAGATTTTAGTCAAGTAATCACCTTGTGATAAAAACATGCTTCTGTTGGATCTATTCCTAGTGATGTCAATTCCCAAAATTCGCTTGGCAGAGCCAATATCCTTCATGTCAAAATGCAATTTCAAATCATCCTTAACACTTACAATCAACATTTTACAAGGACCAATTAAGAGAATATCATCAACATACAGCAGAATATAAACAGCATTCTCAGTTCCAACATGTTTATAATACACACAAGTATCATATTTACTCCTTAAAAAACCAAGTTCACTCATGCAGGAATCAAACTTCAAATTCCATTGTCTAGGTGACTGTTTAAGTCCATATATTAATTTTTTAAGTAGACAAACATGTTCAGGAAACTCTTTATTAATAAAGCCAAGAGGTTGAGACATAAAAATGGTTTCTTTTAAGTCTCTATGCAAAAACGCAGTTTTAACATCCATTTGTTCCAATTCCCAGTCAAAAACAGTGGTTACAACTAACATTAGTCTCAAAGTTTTGAATTTTATAACAGGTACGAAGATATCTTGGTAGTCAATTCCTTCCTTTTGTCTAAAGCCTTAAGCAACCAGCCTAGCTTTAAACTTAGGATGTTCAGTAGGATCAAGACTATCTTTTAACCTAAAAATCCACCTACAGTCTATTACTCTAGCATTTTTAGGTTTGGGAACTAAAATCCAAGTTCTATTGGAGTACATGGATTGAAGTTCTTCCTGCATGGCTTTCATCCACTCATTTGACTTAGGACATTTCATAGCTTGTTCAAATTTATCAGGAACTAAATGTTTTACTACCTCGGCAGCAATCAACACTAATTCAGCAAGATAGGAGAAATATCTTTTATTAGGAATTATAGTTCTAGGTTCTCTATCTCTAACCAGTTAATAGTCAGCTAAATTTGGTGTATCATGATTATCAGTGTCATTATTATCAACATGCTCATCATTGGTAACAGTAGTGTCAGTTAGTTCATGCACAATGGGAGTATGAGAACCAGAATTACTACCTTATGAGTTTGAACTCACTACTACCTGTTCACCTCCATTGAGGTCATCTTGTTGGTCTGTTTCAGACTCTGAATAATCATTTGCAGCATTGTTGAGGATTCCACTAAGGTCCTCTTTATTCAAAGAGTCATCATTATCCAAAGATTCAAAGAAATTTCCATCAGAACCATCTGCAGACTTACTCAAGGCAGTATCAGTTCTTTTAAATGGAAAATCACATTCATTGAAAGTAACATCTCTGGATACAATACATTTATAAGCCCCTGGTTGTAAAACCAGTAGCTTATAGCCTTTAACTCCCTCAGGATAGCCTAACATTACACATTTTAAGGCTTTAGGTTGTAATTTACCTTGAGAAACACGGGCATAGGCTGCACACCCAAAAGGCCTTAAATGAGAAATGTTTGGTTTAACCCCAGATCACATTTCCTGTGGAGTTTTAAAACTGATCACAGAAGATGAGGATCTGTTAATGAGGTATGAAACAGTAACCACTGCTTCACCCCGCAGGGAATTGCCAAGGCCTGAACTGATGAGCATACACCTTGCCTTTTCAAGCAAGGTCCTGTTCATCCTTTCAGCATTGTCATTCTGCTGAGGAGTACCAGGGACAGTAAATAACCTTTTAACCCCTTCATTTTTGCAAAAAACATTGAATTCATTGTTGCAGAACTCAAGTCCATTATCAGTTTTAAAATTGGATTGAGACTCAACCAATAATTTCCAGTTTTTAAAATTCTCAAAGGTTTCATCCTTAGTTTTTAATAAGAAAACCCACACCTTCCTGGAAAAGTGATCAACTAGAGATAGAAAGTATTTCCTACCTCCAGTTGTGCTCACTTTAGAGGGTCCCCATAAATCAGAATGAACCAATTCTAAGGGAGCAGAAGCAACATAAGATGATTGTTCAAAAGGATGTCTAGTTTTCTTACCAAAAACACAGTTTTCACAAAAAAACAAGGTTTTCAGGTTTAAAGTCTAAAAATCCAGTTTTAAACAGCTTATTCAAAGTTTCAAACCTACATTCCCAATGTGACCCAATCTGTTATGCCAAATTTCAGTTTGCTTTTGAGAGGTACTATTATCAACAGAAGCAGCTAAGTTAAGTTCAGGGGAGCAATTAACTAAGTAAAGTCCCCCACTTTTGTTAGCTTTAATAAGGTCATTTCCATTTCTGGAAACAGCCTTATATCCATCCTGTGTATTAATAGTGCAACCCATATAATCAAAAACAGATTCAGATAGAAGATTCCTTCTCAAGAAGGGAACTCACCTAACATTTTGGATAACCCTTACAATCCCATCAAACATCCTCAGTGGAACATTACCAACACCTTTGATATCTAGGGCAGTATTGTCACCTAACATGACCTTTCCCCCCATCATATAGTGTCAGGGAGGAGAAGTAGGCCTTGTTAGGAGTGGCATGTAATGTACACCCAGAGTCTAAAATCCATTCATCATTCAAAGAAGATCCAGAACAAACAAGCAATTCATGTTAAAAAACATTTGCAGATTCTGTGTTAGGAGTAGGGTTAGGATTATTCTTATTATCACCTTGTTTGTCCCTTTTCTTCTTCCTACAGTCTCTTGCAAAATGTCATTCTATGCCACAGTAGTGACATTTGAAGGATTTCTTTTCAGAATTATCTTTATCAGTTTTATTCTTCTTCTTTGAACTGTTCTTTTTATTCTTTGGTTTCCCTTTAATAACTAGGGCTTCATTTTTGGGCTCAGTTTTCTCAGTATTAGAGGGATCATATTTAGACTTAAAAACTTTAAGGGATTCATTCTTCTCAAGTATAGCATCAGTGATCTTACCAGGGGTGAGTTCATCATTAGAATACTGGATGGCATCCTTAAAGTTATCAAACTGGAGTGGTAAAGAGTTTAACAGAATAACAACTTGATGGGTGTCTTTTATCTTTTCATCTACCTTTTCAATTTCCTGAGTCAATTTCAGAAAATTATCCAAATTCTCAGATAAAGACACAGAAACATTCATTTTAAAGGTAAACAACCTACAGAGCAGAGAGATCTTTCTAGACATAGATTTTTTCATATAAGTGGACTCAAGGGTATCCCACAACACTTTAGGGTCAGTGATTGTGGAAAATTTTCTAGCCACATTGTCAGACAGATGGATAATCAATTCAGAATATGCAGCATTTTTTAGTTCAGTCAGATCAGAACTGGACACATTGGGAACAGTATCAGAAGAGACAACTCCAAAGCATTTCTGTTTCATCAGGAGAGCTTTAATCTTAAGCTGCCACATGGGAAAGTCACTGATACCATCAAAGATGCGGATCTTGATACCAGTGTCAGACATGTTTGCAGGTTAAGATCAAGATACATATAAGTAATAGCAACAGAAGGCAATCAGACAAGAACTAAATGCAATCAAGATTCGAACAGTTTTGAGCTAGGGTTTTAGGAATCTAATGTAAAGGCTCTGATACCAATTTTGTTCTCAGACTATTTCAATAGTCACAGTCAAAATACCGGATTCAAGTTTAAAGTTCAACCAAAACAAAAATTAAAGAAATGAACACACGATATGTTGACGCAGTTCGGATAAATCCTACTCTGCGGGGTTTCAACAGGGGAAACCCGGTTCCAAGAATCCACTAGCTCAGAAAAGTTTGAATACACAGATGGTTGCAAAGCAAGATCAGAAAATAATACGATCTAACACACAAGAATCAGCCAAAACACAAGCAATGTAATAGAATTAGTAAAAGGAATAGAAATAACCGAACCAAGCTTCCAAAACCCAGGTGTGTGCAGATTCTTGGATTCGAACCAACAGCCCAGCGTTTAAGATTCTCCACACGATTGATTTCCAACCTTTCTCAGCTTATTCTGGCCTCAGGTGAATTAGAAACGAACGAACTGAAAACCAGAGGTTTTTCACTCATTCAACGCACAAGCTCTCAGAATCGCCTCTCTGTAGTTAGGGTTTCAAAATGACGCATAGATGTCTCAAGAAGAGTGGAAGGAGACTTTTATATGCGAATCAAACGAGCTGGATCAAATGAAGAAGAACCAGACTGGACAAAGAATTATCAGGCCCAAGTCATAGCGGAAAAGACTGAAACGGGTCAGACCAAAATCTAATGGTCTAATTGATTTAATCAATTAGAATCCATTAAATAAGATTACTCTCTAACCTTGCTTTGCCTTCCTATCTAAGTATTAAAACATCATGATAAATACAACTAGAATTGGGATTACAAATATAACAAGTACGATTCTTTCAAAATATTCTTTGTACACACAACATGTACACAATAATACATACTATAAATACAATCTATTTTTTTCATCTCACATTTACAATATTCTCTTCCCGCTCTTTTACTCTCTCCTCTCCTCTCATATGGCTCCCTACTCAATCTTTTTCTTTCCACCTTCATTTTCACCCCTTCCATCTTCATAATCCTGTGTCATTCCATCTCTATCACCATCTCATAAGAGCACAACTCCCTACTCAATCCTTCATAATCTTGACATTCCTCATAAGTTTGTAATGACATTAATTACTCATTTGTTTTTAAAACATCATGGCAAAAAATGATAAATAAATCTAGACATATATAAATGTATATCTTTAATCAATTAATCTTGTGTCATTCTCCTTCATGATAACTACTCTTTATCATTTTCATCATCATCATTTTCCATAGTTTCCACTCCATCTTTCAATTTTTAAGATTTGCCGAAAATGGAGAGGTGCGGGAAAATCAACCCGAAGATGATTAATTGTTGAATATTTGTCTGTATCGTATATAAAAATCGTTTGTGACTTCCTAAATATTAATAAAATTTGTCTGTATGAACAAATAATATTGAAAAAATATAATTAAAGGTTGTCGGAAAACCAACCGTAGGTAAAAAGTCACTGGAATATAAACATGAGGCGTTGTCTTATCATTCAAAGTGTTGAGCTAGTTTTCTTCCACTGATGAAAAAAATGTACAAACATAGACATTTCTCAAATGCTACAAACAATTAATGTCTGTACACAGACATCGACCAGTTTCTGTCATCTCTGCAAAAAAAGGCACAAAAATCGATGTATGTGTACAACATTAGTTGTTTTCCACGGACACAAATGTTAGGCACGAACAAAAAATATACAAGCACAAACATTTCTCAAGCACCACACACAATTAATATTTGTATACAAACATTAGTTTCTGTGCCACAAGTACTGCAATCTCTGCAAAAAAAAATGGCACAAAAAATGATATATGTTCATAGACATTATTTTGTTGGTGGTCTAATTTTACAGACATTTACTAATTTTTCAACTTTATTTGTTCACACAGAAAAACCATAATACTATTAAACGATACAGCCAATTGTTTAAAGCGATGCAAACGATTATTTTGGTGACTTTACATATCCGGTTTGTTTGTCGACGACTTTTATTTATAAATTTTAAGTTTTTTTCTTCTTACAGACAAACTTTATCATTATTTAAGAAGTTAGCGACGATTTATATATATGATACATACAATAATTCCGGTAGTTGTTCATCGATCTTTGGTTTGGTTTTCCGGCGACTCTCCATCTCCAACGAATCTTAAAAAGTGAAAGATGAAGCGGGAAAGATAGAGAATGGTGAAGATGGAAATGATAAAGATAGAAGATGGTGATGGAGATGAAGGATGATACAAGATGATGAAGTTGAAAGTTGGGTGAAGATGATAGTGATAAAGATGCATGGAAGAAAAATAAAGAAGAGTGAGTATGGAGGGGAGGAACCATAGGAAGAAGAGAGGAGAGTGGGAAAGAGTGGGGAGGGAGGAGGGGTAAATGTGAATTAGTAAAAATATATGGTATTTGTAATGTGTATTAGTATGTACAAATGGTGTGTGCAAAGATCATTTTTGAACAAATTTAACTCTTTGTGTTAATATGGTTTAGAATTGATTGTACTTCCATTTCTTTCTAAAAATGGAAATAGAATGACAATACGGTTGTAGAAGTTGGTGTTCCATAACTTCTAAAAAATTAATTCCAAGAGCAATTTGAAATACTTGGAATTGAAGTACTTCCACACTCATATCCAAACACGTACTCCAATATATAGAGTATACTAACTTTCAAGCCCGTGCGATGCACGAGCAGCATGTAATTTAGCTAATTTGAAATTTGATTTATTTCGGATCATATGTAATGTGATTTAAAAGAAAAATAAATTTAATCTAATATATATAGAGCCTATTAGATAATATATTAAAATAAATTGAATTAACTTATTTTACTGAAATTGATTCAATTCTGGCTGAATGGGCTAAATAGGTGGAACTCCTGAATCATGAAAAAAATATGTAAAATATATTTCATTTGTGAAGACAAGAAAAAATTATATGAAAAATAGTTAAATTGACCTTTATAGATGCATGAACATATCCACTTTTTATAGATGCATGAACATTTGTGATATGTATCATTCCTTCCTTTATTTTGGGACGTAATGTATGAACATATCCACTTTTTATGTATGCATGAACATAATCACCCTTCAATCATGAAAAATATAATGAGATTTTTGTGTAAAATAATTAAATGCATTAAAAATTCGAAATTAAAAAAAAGTATACTTCTTCATCGATCAGAACCATGTCTAGCTAGACAAATTAAGCTTCCTTGCCTTTTGTGATTGATGACATCACAAAGGCGTGTAACACGAACTTTGATTGTCCACTCAGACTTGGATGTATCAAGCTGACGTATTAGAGAATAACTTCTGCATTTTATGAAATATTAATCAATCATGTATAATGAATCATACTATCATGTATCATATGTACATAGTATTCAATAATATATCATTAAAAATGTTGTAAAAACGTATTGTGATGACATTCTTGATATAAGAACACTGAACAATAGAATTCTTCAAATTAAGGAGAAAGCCAATAGTGAAAATACACTTTTGTTTACATTCTCTTTGTATTTATAATAGCATACATATGCACTATAGGTAGTTTTATGTTTCTAATTCTAAATTTAGAAACATAAAATATACTAAAAGTTTACTCCAAAGTTACGTAGCTTTAAATTTATAAACATAATAAAAGTGTTATAGATAAATTACTATAAGAAATATACTAAAAGTTTATAAGAAACATAATAAAAGTGCCGAATAAAATATACTAAAAGTTTATAAGAAACATAATAAGAAGCATAAAATATACGTACTAACAGTTTATAAGAAACATAATACGAAACATAAAATATACTATAAGTTTACTCCAAAGATTACGTAGCTTTAAATTTAGAAACATAATAAAAGTGTTATAGATAAAAGTTTAAAATTAACTAAAGTTAAGTAGCTTTAAATTTAGAAACATAAAAACTAAGAATAAGATGGTATACAAAATCAGATTATGAGCATCAGATTTTAAATTAACTAAAGTTACGTATCTTTAAATTTAACTAAAGTTACATAGCATTAAAATCAGATTTTATAAGGATAAGAGTTACCAAATAAGATGGTATACAAAATAATAAAAGATATAAAAAGTAATTTAATAATAATTATATATGATGACATGGCAAGATTATGTGACACTCCGTATGCTCTTAAAAAGTTCTTTTATATATATATATATATATATTGATGATTTTTGCTCCGTAAAAGAGCACAAATTATTTTCATAAGCCGATCCAAACGCTCCTATAAGGGCTCCCCTAACTTCTATTTTCACCTTTTCAGTTTTATCAGTCTTTTTATATATAAATGTAACTTTTACTTTTTGAAGTTAAATTGTACGTAGTATAGTAATCAAAATAAGTAAAATTGAACTTGTTTTGCTCATCAAATTGGACGAAGATGATTATTTTAACTTCTTTTTACATAATTGTTTCTTCAATATTTTGAAAATATATATTGTAAATAATATTTGGTAAATAAATTCAGTAGCTCCAACCCAGATTTAGAGCTTGTTTAGTACCCTATATTCTACTTATCAACTTTTTCAGCCATTTCTTTGAAAGACATGACTTTTAATTTCACGTGGTTTATTGTGTAATAATTAATATTGAAATTATTTTTCCGATTGAATTTACTAACGTTATTGTAGAGGACCATTTTACTTTTCCACAATTCAGCAGATTCAACCAATTCAGTTGCTTTGTAAATTTCAGCAAACTCGATCAATTCCAGTGTTACCAACAAGACTCTGGATCAAACATGGCAGTATTTTCCAAATTTGGCAGTAATTAGTCATATTTTGGGAATAAAAACATGACAGCCCTATTTTCGAATTTTCAAACTTTTTAGTCCCATTTCGGGAACTTTCCCTTTAGTGAATCAAGTCAAGTCAAATTATTTTAATACTACCAATTGGACTCTATTGTGTTTATTACTGTTTAACTTAGTGGTTTTACTTACGTTATGTTTACACTGTGAACTTTAATTAGTTGAAAAGTAATGTCTGAATTATATGCTATTATGTGTATTCAATACTATTATCTTGAACTGAAATATGAATTATTCAATATGAATTACTATCTGAATAAAGAAGACGTGTTGGCAAAAAGAGCCAAAACATTGTTACAAAATTAAAAAAATGGATGAACTTTCTAACTTATTACGAGATGAGATTCGAACATGTGACCTTCTACATGTGAATGTCACGATGATAAGACGGATGTGATATGCAGAAAGATTTTTTGTTAGGAATATTTGTTTAGGTGACAACTCTGGTACCCTTTTAAAAATTGGGATACCGTACCTACCATGCATTTGATTGTCCAAATCATTCTATTCATTTTAATTTAGATTTAATTAATTCAACTGTATCATTCCTATTGATCCATGTGGACAAAAGTATGGTACCTTAAGGGTACAATAGAATCTACCATTTGTTTGACCGTGTAAGCTGTAACTAATACTCCGTATTTGTCAAGGGGACCTTATAACAAAAACTACAATAACTAAAAGTTGAAAAAACAATTAAATAAAAAAAATTGTAAGAATGTTTTTAATTGAATAAGTTTATGTCACAAACCAAATCAAATCATATAAAACATAAAAGTTTGAACAAATCAAATTAGACCAAGTTTGACTTTGATAGTTGTATACATGTATCAAATATCTATTAGATCATAGCTAATCTTGCAACAAAGTGTGAAACTCCATTAAAACATCCTACCTCTACGCGAGTCAAGTGGTGGTAAAAATTCCCTCGCGTACAGGTTGATCAAAGGAAAATCACCAATTGACATTCCTAAAAAATGATTGCGTGATTTTTTCTAAACATTATGGGTATAATGGTTAAATATAGTCTTCGATTATAGGAAATGAACTCAACGTTTCAATAAACCTAAGTTTATGCCCTTCAGCTACCTTCCAGGTATTATCAAAATGAGGCTATAATTATTGCAATTGATTTAAGTTGAAGATTTCAGTCCTAAGTTAATTGATGTAGAGCATCCAAATAGGGTCTAGATATTTTTAGTTGGATAACAAATTCTAGTCTATTCTGGATTTTTTTAAAATTTTATCACAATCGTCGATTTATGTTCATCTTGGCATATATATTTACACAAACTATACAAATAAGTGTGTAAATTAATAGGGAGTACATAGTATCTAATTATCTATATGGAGTAATGTTAACGCCTAGGCGTGAGGCAGAGGAAAAGCGCCCCTCATGGTAGAAAGTCTTAAAAAAGAAGGTCAACGGATGAGTTGGTACCAAATGTGTAAAAAGGCACAAGCCTAAATTAGGCTTAAAACAGGGGCGAATCCAGCAAAAATACGTATTGGAGGCACTATCTTATATTCCCTCCGTCTGACTGGACTTTGTTAACTTTCATTTTTTGTGTCCCAAAAAATACGTATTGAGGCGCTATCTTATACAGAGTATATTCTAATTTCACTCTTAAATCAACTTGGAAAAGTTAAGTGGGACGAAATTAGCACTACTTATAATTATGATTTAGCATATATGTTACGTTTATGATTCAACATATAAATTAATTACTATGTGATTACATAGGTTTTTATATATCTACTGATTTTTTAAAGTAGGAACTTAATATTTCTAATGCATTTTTAATTTAAAAATTGTTCAATGTAGTAATTAGTACTAAAACATATACAAAGTTCAAAAATAGAACTAGTTATGTTTTATTTCCCTAATAGGATTTATTTAGTCCTATAAAGTGATTAAACTTCCCAAAATAGAAGTTAATGAGTCATAATTTGAGAATTAACCATCTAGATTATATTTATTGACTTAAATTTTGTTTTAGTCCTATTTAGAAACTTTTCTCTTTTTTATAAATTCGTGCATGACTAGTTCGCTAATCACTAAAATTACGCAATTAAAAGGGGCTAAATTTCATTAATAATACGCCTTATAAAACTAAACAACATTTGTCAAATACTATTCTTGATAAGAGTCCAATAAGGTCTTCTATTATTATAAAATTGTCACATAAAGTCATGTATTAAATAAAGTGTCATATAAATATGATTTCATATAAAAAGCAATCGGATGAATCCTAATGTCCTTTCGATAACCTCGCAATCCCGGTTTTAGTGCACGTCTAACCATCTTTTGAAAATAGATTATAAGGCCGGTATGGAATATTTAGCCAAAATTGGCTTAAACACAAGCCAAAATTAATGACGCGTAAGCTAAAGTCGGGATTAGAGGTTGTCAACGAGTCGTTAGGACTTAGGACTCATCTGATTCCTTTTTATTAGTAGACGTATTTATATGACACTCTATTGAGTACACGACCTTATGTGATGATTACATAACACTAGAAGACCT